ACTAAATTGGTTATAAATACAGATACCAAATGCAAGTATAATTCTTTAGGTAAAAAAATTTAAGCATGAGCCCAATTCACTTTTGATTCATGTCCGAGGTAATGTAAAGTGTATCTTTGATAACATTATAAACACTTAGAACGCCTATTACCTGTATACTATTTCAAATAGAGAAGCATTTTGAGTAAAGTCGCCATAGATGTATAGGAAGAGGCATAAATGGGAGTGTTCAGTAAATAATTTAAAACTCCTATTTAAAACAAAATTAATAAGATGTGAACCTGTAGATATGAATACCAAGGTGATGTGGCTTTTGGTTTGGTCGCAGTCATGTTTTCAGAGAGACTTCGGAGCACGTACCCAGTTCTATGTCCTTGTAAATTTGACGAGTTGTGGCTCGGTGCTAGGGATGTCGCTAGTCATTGAAGATGTCGACTGGGATGCCAGCAAAACATCTGAAAATGTACCTAGTCAATTGCCAGAGGCTGGAAGAAACAGGATGGCAGTAGCAGAAAACGCAGTACGGGGTATGTTCTTCGAGATCTCTCTAAAAACATGACTGTCGCGAAAACGAGGTTAAACCAACTCTGAATTAAATTTATTTGTACTATCGTCTAATTAATTAAAGTAGTAAAACAAACGAATATTAATTTTTAAATAAGCCAATTAAAAGTACTCACAGAGATAAGTCCATGAATAAATTATGCCATCACTATGTGTAACTCGTTGCACAGGCAATAAACTCTTAACCAGATAATCAAAATAGAAAAGTGAATGCAATATGCATACATATTGAAAACCCACTGCATATGTTTGAGCCAGTGGTTGTGGCATTGACCTTTGGCTGACGCTGAAACAGTATAACCGAGGAGTCAATACCGAGCGATGAACCAAATTAAGTATGCAGGCTAAGAAGGACCCGAAAGCTAATGAGCGTAAAATTAATATAGTCTAGAGCAGTGATTCCCAAACTGTGCGCCGCGAAATATTGTAAAAGTTTTAATTTGACAAAATGTTCAGTGATTTGCAGGCTCGCCCATCACATTAATTATTAAATATTAATTCAATGTTAATGAGGTAAAAAAAAATGAAGATACACAAGTTGTATTTATTTTTATCTCTTACTTACGACTGGTCATACTTAGGGTAGGGCGCCATGGAAAAATTTTAATTAAAAAAAGGTGTCGCGACTAGTAAAAGTTTGGAAACCACTGGTCTAGAGCACACTTAGTAGCATTACGTAGCAGACCTATCAAAGTCTACTAATTCTGAAGATAAAGTACATGGATTCATATCTGAATGGCATTAAGACTTAAAAAAAGTCAATTAAAATCTGGGAATTCCACAAGTGTTAATTTAGATTTAAATAATGAAAATTGCATAACAGAATGATAACCCATGTATATGTATATATATTACCGTGTTGCATTAGCGGAGAGTGGCGAGAAGTAGCAATATATTTTGGCTCGGCCCATCTCTACATAGTCACTAGGACGAACCAAGTAAAATTTTATACACTGCTGGATCCGGTAGTCATGAGCATGGACCTATCTATAAGGGGTTATGGGTAAAGTATGAATAGCTGGTATAACATGATATATGAATTTGTGACTGTGGGCCAGAAGGATTAAGAGTGAAGAGGTTCTCAAAATTTGCTTCTCGGTTAAAATGATCAATTCATTAAGCGCCTGTGAATAGACGTCCATTTACTTCATGCACGATGCGCTTAACTCATAAACAATTTCCGTTAATACTTCCAAGTTGTGATTGTTAGGAGTTAGGAGTTCATCCAAACATTTGTCAAGGCAAAATAGTGAAAAAAGCGAAATGCAGAAGCATACGGAGAGCCAAAATTACACATCAGAATGGCTCGATTAACTCTGTTAACTTGTAACTAGAAGAGATTTTCAGCTTATTAGAGTAAAACGGGTTGTTATGAGTGATTATAATTTAGTCGTTTCATGCAAAGGAAAATAAACGGTTCATATACTATAAATACAAGGCAATATAATTAGAAAGTTAATAAATAGATGTGTAAAATAACAACTAATGAAATAAACACTAAAAAGCAGTACAATATACGATTATGCATCAAAACAACTCGACAAATACCTACAATGATATGTAGGTTTTAGTGTAGATTTCAAATTAGTGTTGATAAAATGAAAAGTTGTATAACTCTGTAGTCCAGGCTATCAGAAGTGAAACGAATAATCGAAAAAAGCATTTTTCATAGCTAGCCAAAACAACTTTGGTATTTAGCAAGCAGATGGAAAATCTTAGCATCGAGAAATCAGATAAAACATAACTAGGCGATTCACAATTCTATTTTCCTATCAAATGAGGGATTTACAGAATTATTCTGCCAAGGAACGGTTGCTGCTGTAATGAAGAATATACTTTAATCGGCGGTCATCCAGATAGTAACAGCAGCTTTGAAGATGCCCTCCGACTCCAATGAAAATTTACTGGACTATGACCTAATGTATGAGACATTTTTATGGTGAAAAAAACGTCTAGATATACGGTGAATAGCTTGATACATTAATTTGAACAAACTTTTATTTCATGTTAGGTGCGTTATAAAAAGATTCGTAGATAGATATGATCGGAAGGTGACGGCCGATTACCTTTGATGATTTATTTGATTTTCTTAAGAAGTTTTATAAGGAGTTCAAGTCTGAGAGATCTTTTGACTTTAAGTTGATATAAAAATATGGTCCAACTGGTAATGTCTGTCAAGAGGACGAGAGTACGAAAGCTCAGCCTATGGAAGAGAATCCATTAGTCTTCCGACCAGATCGACCTACGAATCCCTCCATCGCACGCGTTCAGTCAAAATTTAAACCAAATCTTAGACTTACTATAAACTATTATTAAGTCGAGAGGATTTGTCAATTAAGTAATACTGTAATCCAGTAATTTGATTGGTTTCCCTTTTCATACAGCAGCAAGTTGATATTTTAGAATAAAATTTGCCTATATATGAAGACCAAGATGTTGTGGCCTCTGTTATGGCCGCAGTCTCCTTTCGATTTATAAAAGTGGGTTGACCTCGTTGTCACAACTTGGTCTTGTTGTCAGGGCGACTATGTAGAAGGCACCTAGTCCGAAGTTGTCTGCCATAGTAGTTGTCATGATTCCCAGTATT